TGTCTCTAAATTTAACCTGGGCATATTCACTATTCTCCGCCTTCTTTGCATCTTTTCCAGTCACAGTGTTGCCATATAAACTTTCCATCTCCAGTGCGTTGCTCACATAATTTCTGCTCATGCCTCCCTCCATGGATCTCTCCTCCTCCAGATAGGAGGTACCAGACAGGTTCTTGTTCACAGCACGTTCTCCCTTCTTCTTGCTCTTGCTCTTCCAAATCACACTGGAGTAAATCACATCACTGCTTTCCTCATTCTGCTTCTCTGAGCTTCTGCTGGATATCTGTCGATGTCCTCGATGAGAATTTGGTTTATCTGTCCCCCTCATCCTATTGGTGTTGATGTAAATATCTTCTTCTAATGTGATAGACACCTAAAATGAAAAAAAAAAAATCGCTGGTACAGATACTCCACTAGATTATCCCTGTTTAATACCCAAATTATAAAACAGTGTCACAACCTCTGACACAATACTGGTGGACTTAAATGCACGACTCTGGGACAGACAAAGATGTAGCAAAAATTATATTTATTTATCCAAAATAAGATTCAAACAAAAGGCGCTCTCAAGGAGGATCAACAAATCAACACAAACTTCTATTGAAACATGAAATAACCTGAACTCTGGCTGGAACACTTGACGATGATCCCTCTATACACCTTGTTTTTAAACAATATGACATAGAAAACATTAAGCAGAAGTTGGGGTGTTTAAATCTTACGTCAGTGTCTTCAGAGAGGTGTTTTTGCTCAGGCAGTTGACAATGTTTTCAGTTCAATGTTAGAGAATTGATACATAAACACTGATATCACCAAGTAGAAGTTTAAGGCACTGCAGGAGAGAGAAAAGTGATGAAGGATGAACTTTTGCCTCAGTATAAGATATACAACAAATCATTAATCAATGTTATGTGACAATCATCAAGCTCATCATCAGTGGAAGTAGAGGGAGTCATTTTGGAGTTTGGGCAATGACATCATACTCTGGAGATGTGTCTCTACGATCCAAAGACATGTAAGTCATCTCTTCTTCTTTTGGCTTCACATTCTTTCTTCTTTTCCTTTGAGGAGAAAGAAAAATAGAGATATATATTTATTGTTTTCTAAAAACGGCAGTGCTATTCATCAGCAGAGCTTTCATAAAATATATAATCCACTGTAATAACATACATACCAAAGGAACACTATGTAGATTGTGTACAAGACGTTGACACAGAGAGAGACACCAGCAACAGCCAACAGAAGAATTCCACAGTACGGTCCACAATGTTGCTCAAGACCTGTCACAAGAAACAACAATAACACTTCACATATTATATCCTAACAATATGCATATGGCTAGCTAAATAAATTAATTAACTAAATAAAATGTCTTGAAATCCTAATAGTTTACAAGTAATTAATAGAACTTGTATTAACTATGACTTTCTGCAGATGTTTGAAGCTCATAAAAAACGCTGACTGTCATATTATTTTCTTATAAATTAATTTGACTTTGGACATTTGTGTGTGTTTTGACTTCCTATGTGATCACACACCTGAGCCAAGCTTGTAACAGTCATGTTTAAAATAACTAAAATTAATATCAAGATACTGATATCAAAAGAACTGTTGAAAGTTGTAATTGAAGACTATCATAATGCAAAGAGCTGTGGTAAGGCCTGAATATGGTGCACACACTCATGGTAAGACACAATGGCCCATGACTATGTATTTAAATACATTTATTGACACAATGTCACATTTAGTCTACAGTAACAGATTGATTCATGAAAAATAAAAATAAAAATATAATAAATTAATTAATTACCAAATAAAATAACTTTTAATTCAATTTAATGAATTCTGCCTGGGTTAAGGTAACAAAAGCAGTTGTACTCACACTGAACGTCTATTTGA